TTTGCTTTCCGCCTGCCCGGCTCCATCAACAGCACCCGTCCCTTCTGCCACCCCACTGGCACCATCCAAACCACCCCGTCCCATTGGCACGTATTAATTTCCACTGGCACCCTTCGTTCAGCAAGGGAAATTAATTGATGGCGTAACGGCAGCAAGCCCCCGCGGAGCTGAGCAGGAGCGATGCCGGGTGCGGTGCCCGCCCCACCGCGCTCGCCACAACAACCTGAACGAAAATAACACTGGAACACAAATTCCTGCTTAACTTACACCTGCTGCCCTCCTGTCCTTGTTTGTTCCACTGCTTCATGCAGATTATCATGCTTAATTTCATAATAGCCCTGAGCTAGTTTAAATACTTAATTTAGGTCACTTCTAGTCTCCTGTGCAGGCTAAATAATCTCTCCTTAACTGGCCTTGGACACAAATCCCTCCTGTCCACCTCCCGCGCGTCGCTCCCAGCACCCCCCCAGCTGCTCCCTAGCAGAAAATTTTGATGAGAAATGTTTTCTAGTGACACAAAGGCAGCACCGAGGATGCCAGCTCTGTTAAGGGGGAAAAAAAAAAGAGTTATCAAAATGATTTTGACCAGGAAAGCAAAGAATATTTTTGACTGTTAAAACATTTAATTTTTTTCAAATCCTAAATCACTTAAGGGAGACTTTTAATTCTTATTTAAAATTTTTAACCATTTAAATTTAACTGCTTAGAATTTAAATATGGTTAATTTACCCAGAAAAAAACCCATCCTCCACTTTTCAATTAGGTGCATGTTTCTTAATTGCATTTGCATTTCTCTGAAACTATTACTCCTCCAATTCCTTTCCACTTGCCTGCAAACCAAAGAATTCATTATTCATTCAGGTCTCTGATTTATTTCTTCTGGAGGGTAACTGTAAGCCAAAAAAATTCAAACCCAGGCTTCTGCTTACCCAAAACTCAAGGGTCTTTGAGATCAAAATACCTCCAGCTTTGTTAAATAAGGACTCCTATCATACCATCAATCCTTCAACAGAAATCCCCGCTGAGCTCCACTGTCTTTGCTGCCGACACTTTGCAGACGTATGTTCACACACATACATGTGTACCTGCCGACGTACACACCCTCTCTATACGTTTTTTTATCCATAGCCCAAGGTCACCCAGACTGGATGCTATGCCAAATAATTCAAGCCCAGCTCCTTCTCAGAGCAGAAGTCTGCAGTACTGGGGGGGAAAAGTTCACAGCGAGCATCGGTGGTTTTGAAGAGTCTTTTTTTATTTCCTTTCCGGCTGCCATTCTAATGAACCTCATGGGGGGAAACCATGCCAGAGGAAGAGGCAAAAATGAGGCTACTGAAGTCAAAGGAAGAAAATATAAGGCTTTTGGATGGGGTGGAAAATGAGGCACAATTAGGGAAGACTTATTGCCTGAAAAATGATAATGGAAAGAAAATAACAATTTTTTTTGTTGTTGTTCCTAGTGACATCCGCAAGGACCATGCACCGAGGTGTTAAATGCCAGCATTTCAGTTACGGTTTTACTTACTGCCAAAGGCTGAGCCTGCAGCTGCACCTGGAAAAAAAAACAAGAAGAAGCCCGGTCACTGGGAGCAGGATGCCATCGGCTCTGATACCAGCAGAAGATCAAGCAGATACACGATGTGGGACTGAACAGCAATTAATTATCAGGGGTCTTGCTCACAGGCATATCAGTTTGCTGCAACATCTGAAAAGCTGCTTTTGTTAAACCAGAGGCAACCAGACAGTGCTGGCTGGGGTCTTGGCATCTCAAGCCTTTCACTGGGGGAAAAACAACCAACATGGTCCTTGCTGATGGGTTTTTCCATTAACCATATCCTTGACCTACCATTAAAGCCCAGCAAAGGACAAGCACATCTCCCAAAGTTCACTGGGCTAAGTACAAGCTGGAGGGTCTGAACCAGGTTGTTGCACCTGGGGCAGTTCTCCGTGAGCAAGAAGGGTTGAACCTTCCCACTGCAGCACTTGCTCAATGGGATGCTGCAAACCTGCTGGTCAAAGGCCATCCAAGGACCAGCTTCTGGCACTGGGCACCCAGGAGACTATTGGCCATGGTCTTCTCTACTGTAACAAGTGGATGAATCATGGAAAGTCTCAGCTTTGCGTGAACATAAAGCCCAGGACCAGTGATGGAGGAGGCAGGACCACCAAGAGGAAAGGACTTCAGAGAAATGCCTCTGTTGCAGAGGAAGAGGATGATGGTGATGGGAGAGGAGGAAGCAAGAGAGAGTTGTGGAGGGGAGGAAGAAGACTGAGTGACAGATGGGAAGAGAGATGAATGGGAGAAGAGAGAGCAGAGGAGAAAGAGAATAGGAAGAGACACAAGGAGTGGAGGGGGGGGAAAGAGAGAGAACAGCATGTCTGTGCCTGTCAACACCAGAAACTCTCCCAGGCTCCTTTGAAGCAATGCAGCCGCTTGGTGGGAGCTGACAAGCTTGTTGCCTTTCAAAGAACCTGCTCGTCTACCAGCCCTGGCACACACAAAACATTCCCGTCACGGCCTTTGGAGCCTGAATTTCAGCTTTGATCATCTTAAAGCACATAAATCTTTTAAAAAATTTGGGGGGAGGGAGGGAAAAATTCTCTTTGGTAATGCTCAAAGCTGCTGCTTGAAAGGCTGGAGTGGCTACTGTGGCTCCGTGACATTTCAACAAGTCAGCTAATGTGGACTGGACAGAAACCCAGGAGGAACTGGCCCATCTGTGATGTTCCCTGCCCCAATTCCCCTGCTCAAACGATGGCGGGTATGCATCCTTCATCTCGTCTGCATGCCTTTGCTTCTGCCAGTGCCTTGCTCCAGCAGGCAGCTGGATGTGCCTGGAGCTGCGCAGAGGGACTGCAGCTCACAGCGCTTGCCTGAAATGCCGACATACATAGAACAGGATCCAGAAAGCAATCCAGAAGCAACCTGCGCTCCTGCAGCTAAGCAGTGCCAGCGCTGAGCCCATGGACTACTTGAAAGCCAATGCTCTACTGTGGCTAAAGAATGTCTTCTGCAAGGGACAGTAATTTGCATTGCTACAAAGCCATGGACCTGTATCTTGGCCCAAGGTCATCCTTCCTATTCTCAGCCATGATTTGGACTCATCACTCATCTACCAGCAGCCAACAAACCACCTTTGCATCCACCCAGATCCTCTCTCGTTCCTCTGTGTACCAGGACCCGGGTAAATACCCGCTTCCCTTTCGAAAGCTGAGCATCCCGCACTGATTCAAGATGCAGAAGGACAAGACGAGAATCCTCTCCCATCTGCAGGCGTTGTGCAGCCCAAGATGGGAGCACAGCCAGGGCTGGCTCGCTGCGGGTTACTTACATGCGTTGGGGGACCCGTTGGGCAGAGGCAGGTAGGATCCTGCTCGCCAAGACCTGGAGCGAAAGTTCTTCTTGCACTTGCCGCAGTCCTGCCCCGTGGTGTTGTGCTCGCACTCGCACTGAAGGCTGCCCTCTTTGAAGGTGCACAGGTTAGCGTGGAGGTTGCATTTACACCTGCAAGAGGAAGACAGGAGTCAGGTACTACTGCAGCTCCTCCTTGCCCCTGGAGCAGTGCTGTCCATGTGCATGAAGGTGTAGAAGCGAAGCTGGGCTGGTTAACCCTTTCCTGTTCCTTCTGCAGGACTTTTTCACTGAACTCTGGGTTCTCCCCAGGTATCTGGTGCTGGATGTCCACGTCCTTGCCCAAGGTCCACACCCTCTATTCCAAGATGAGAGATACTTTACTCTCACCATCCAACTGCAGTCGCACACATCGTTTAATGGTAAGTCACCATCTCCATCTGAGACTCCAGTAAGGGGTCACAGACATTTTTTCAGAGATCTGAGTGATTAGCTCAGATGTAGGCATTTACTTGGAGGCAGAGAGGACAGTCTCAAGCTGTAGATGGAGAAGCACAGCTAACACCGGTGGGACTCAGCCCCTTGAGCCTTTCGAAGCGTGCTAAAGCCAAGAGCGTTTTCTCCCGTGGTGTGAAGATGCACAACACAAACCCTTTTCCCTCCGTGCAATGCAGCCCCAGCCTGCTGTGACCAAAATAACACGGAGAACAAGCCACCATCAGAATCTGCTGTTTAGTCCCTGCCTCATCAGAGAAGGCAACAACGAAAAACACTATTCAGCAATTTAGGAACATTAACAAACTTTTAATGAGCTGTAGTGCAGTATGCAGGGAATAATTATCCCCGTGCACAATAATTCCTGTTGCTCAGACTCCGGCAGTGCCTTGAACAGAGCGTGGAGGCTGAGCCCATAACTCACACGTGGCTCTAGCGACTCCCGGGCCCGAGCTCAGGCTGTCAGACAGAGGCTTTGGGGACCAAAACCTCCCATTTAATTCCAGACAGTGGATCCCTAGCACAGCCCATTATTTTTTCACGGCTTTGTGCAATAATTTACACTCTCAGAAGCAGAACCATTAGGAAACAGTAAAGCTGTGCCTCGTGATTGGGTAGAGAAGTCTCTCTAGGCAGTGCTTCCCTTTGCTGGGCTAATTGCACAAGAGATGCAAAACCAGGGGGAACAAACCGCTTGCAGAGACGATAGAGGAACCATGGTCTGCTTCTTCTCATGCTCTGTGCTGGGATAAACAACCTGGATCAGGCTGGGAGCCGTGACCTGGGTCTCTCTGGTGCCTCACATGCCCCCCAGCTTTGGGTGCCTCTCCCCCTCTCCCTTGGACCCCAGTGATGCTCCCAGCCACCCTCCTGCCCCGCCGAGGCCACCTCTGCTGTGCTGCTCCTCACGCCCGGCTGGATAAGCTGACCTCATGTGTGCTCCCCCCCTCCCCTCCCTGTCCTTAATTCTAGCAAACCCCGCTCAGAGGCTAAGCATAAGCTGGATGAACGGGCTCTCTCCCTGCCTTACAACCCTGCCCTGCCTCTGACCAAGCAGGGGAGGGAATACGGCAGTCTCTAAAAGGGATGAAAGAAGAAAAAAGTGGTCCGTGGAGCAGTGCAGACCCACTCAGCACACTCCACTCGAATCTGTGTGTTAGAGCTGGAGATGCCGCCGCACAGCCGGGAGCACTAACAGCCTCCGAGCACCAGCGCTCTGGGAGTGAGCTGTGAACCCCAGCATCTGGGGGAAGGAGGTGGCTTTGGCCAGTTCCTACGCAGGAGGGATGCTGTATTTCAGCTGCTCCGTGTCCCCTCTGCTCTGGTGAGGCAGGATTTTGGCTGAGCTGTCCCAGCCCTTTGGCAGAGGCGATGCCCAGCCCTGGAGCGCTGCTGCGGAGCCTGACTCTGAATTATTCAGCATCCACCCAGCGTGGCCTCCTTCTCTCACTTCCAAATGAGCAGACAGGAGGAAAGCAGGCAGGACACAGGCAGGATGGCGGGTTAAAGCAGGTCAAAGCCTCTCCGCTGCTGCTCTGGGCCCAGCTTGAATCAGAGCAAGAGCTTCTGTCTGGGAGCTGCAGCTCTCCTCCCCCTGCTGCTGGCTGGAGCGAGGGATGGGCGCAGCTTCAGCTTAAAATCCAGCCGAGGGGGGAGTTTAGGAGCCCCAGGGGAGGGGGTACAAGGAAGGCAGGGCCTGGCATCCCCCTTGATTTCTCTGAAGGCTGGGATGATGTCGAGGCTAGCGCTTGGCTCCTGTCCTTGACCCTGCTCGTCTCACAGCGGGGATATCAGCCCTGGGTGACCACCGCCTGGTCCCACGTGGTGGCCTGGGGCACCTCCATCCACAGCACATCCTTGCTCCTGGCATCCCCCACCAAGGGCCAAGCAGCCATTTCGGGCTGATTCTGCCAGCCCCAAGCTGCTGCTGTGCAGGAGGGTGAAACCTGCGTGCCCTTAATTTGGCTTCAGATGCAAAACCTCCACCCAGCAGTGCAACCCAGCCTTCTTGCTGCCGGGACAACGAGGCACGGATGCGTGCAGGAGGCCATCAGACGTGCCTGCTCGTACGCACACCTTTCTTGCTGGCTGCTGGGGAGGGCTGGGAACCAAGCACCAGCTCCCAGGACACCCCCAGCTGCCTCCTGCCCCTGCACGGGCACCGACACCCTGGCAGCGGGATGGGGACGGGTGGGTGCTCATGGATGTCCCCCAGACACTGTGTCTAGGGGAGATGGGGCACTGCTCTGCTTCCCAGAGAAGACCCTCACTTCCTAATGAGTGTAAACAAGGGAAATTAAATAAAGAGAAAGCGGAGGCAGCCGGTGAGCCTGCCTGCCTGTGCCTGGGTCACTTAGATTTCTCGCTGCTCAGCCCTTCGCCACTGTGCAAAAGTTTTGTTATCCAAAGGATCAATTTTACCGGGGAATTGCTTTCTGAATTCGACCTTTGAGGATCATCAATCTAAGCAGAGAACTATAACCCCAGCAAGCTGACCCCGCAACACAGCACTTTTCAGCCCAATCAATCAGGCTGCATTATTTAATAGCCAACAGCCCAGCGCCTTCAGCCAGCCCTGATTGCCAGCCCCATTTGGTGCGAAGGTTTCCCGAGCCTCCCTGCTGCTTGGGCTCGGCAGCTCAGCTTTAACCCCTTCTTCAGGCTTCTCTGCCTCCTCTTCTGGGCCTGCAGCCCAAGGATGCGCTTGCCGACGGTCTGTGCACAATGTCCTTCCCCAGCCAAGATCCAACTGGTGCAGACTGGAGTAAATGACATTAGCCCAGTTCTCTGGGTGGGAGCTGCTAGTCCTGCTTGCCTCTGCTCCTCTTCCTTGGGCAGCCAGCCATCGCAGGAAAGAGAGGATGAAGGGAAAGGTTAGGAGCTACTTAGCAATGAGGTTTAAATAGCAGCAGTGGGGCAGACACCTGCGCTGGGTCCTGCAGATGGCTGCGATGGCCCTGCTCCAGTCCCGCGGCCGCTCCAGCCAAGCGCTGGTTGCAATATGGTCTCTTTGGCTCCGGCGGTGATCTGAAGAGCTGGGAGCGTTTCTCCTCTCTAGCTGAGGGGTCAGGGCTAGCAGTGATGGTGCTGTTTCTCAGCGTTCAGAGCCGGCGGAGGATGCAGCTGTGGTGGGGCAGAGCCTGGAGGAGAACAGCCCCAGCAGGACCTACAGCACCCATGGGCACCCTCCACAGCCTGGGACACCCACGTCCTGTGCTGGGCTGTTGGTAGGTGCAGACGCTGTGTTTTGCATTAAACAGAAAATAGTTCACGCCGTTCCTCTGCAAAAATGGCTGGAGCAATGATTGGCCCCACGTGTTACAGTTTGCACGATGGGGTATTTGTGAGTTTATGCTGGTGCAGGTTGTTCGGCTCCACCTCAGAGTGGTGCAGCGTGGGCTGACGCTGCCAACGCTTCCCATCATGGAGCTGAGAGCGCCAAGGAAAGTTTACAGGAAAGTGTCTTTTTAAAATTTTTTTCTTAATTGTTCTTTTTTTTTTTTTTTTTCCAGCCATAAAGAACAGTTTGCCATCCCTGCATTTCTCCAAGTCAGCATCCTGGAGGTCACAGCAGCGAGTGGCTGGAGAGGCGTCCGGTGCCAAACCCGTGTGCGAGGGAAGGAGGGGCCCGTGCCCAGGCTTCAGAGGGGGGTGCAGCTGGGGTGAGTGTCGCAAACCTGCAGGAGCCGTGCTGGGAGTGGGCCAGCAGCCACTGTCCCTGAACTTTCATCAATAATAACTTTTGAAATAATTTTAAGAAGCCACCCCCACTTTTTACTTTCTTTCCAAGGATCCTTATGTGTTTTACAACCTCTTTTCTGTCCATAACCACACGCTTGGTGGAGACCCAGAGAGCTGCTCCCTCCCTGTCCACCTCTCGCCCCGCTCCCACCATGGCCCAATCCTGCCTTGCCCCAAGCTCCTTAAGAAAGAGCCTGGGTGAGGACATGGGGCAGCAGAAGTCTATGACAGCGGGCCACCACCACCCTTCCAGGTCTCCTTCCAGTTCAGCCTGTGCTCTCATCTCCATCCTGTGCTCGCCATGAGGATGCTCCTGCAGGGCTGCATGGCCCCAGGGATATTGTTAGAATCCCAGAATGGTTTGGGTGGGAAGGGACCTCAGAGATCATCCAGTCCCACCTGCTGCCATGGGCAGGGACACCTCCCACCAGCCCAGGTTGCTCAAAGCCTCATCCAGCGTGGTTGGTTAGACCTGGTCCCTCCTTGCTTGCTCCCAGGCCACGGGGCTCCTGCTTTCCTCCCACCATCGGCACGGCAGTGGGGCCCCCCCGCTCCCTTTCTGCTCACCCGAGCTGGCGTTGGGGAGAGGCAGCGCACAGCGGAGAGCTGCTAATGACTGCCGTCCAAAGGAAGGCTTGTGATAGCTTTCCCCTGGATTGTTTGCTCTTGCTGTAATTGATGAGCCTTTAATGAGTCTCATGGGACGACGTGTTTGAAGGGAGCTCTTTCCTCTCCGTCCCCAAGGAAAATGATGTTTCAACTGATCTCGGCTCTCGGGGAAACATGAATAACTCTTCTCCATCTCTCTATTGTCATCCCCAGCCGTTGCTCGCAGCACGTTCCGACAGCTGCCTGGCCGTGACCTACCCACTTTTTACCTGCTCCTTTGCAACGGTTTTGGCAGCTCAGCAAAAGCA